GTCTCTTTGGATTTAGTCGAGTCTGAACCAAGGCAAGATGAAATTTTTCTTCTCTTTGTACTGACCCATTCACATATTTTACACTATCACGAATTTTTCCAATTAATTCTTGCATCACATCCATTTCTTTTTTCACAATTAAATTCATAATGTGAGCAGAGCATCGAATATGAAACATCTCACCATGACCAACAAGTGCACCCTTCCTATTCAACCAATCCCTAAAGCTCTTTCAACCGATGGATCAAACTTGTGTGTTTTAATCTTACTAGTATTCTAACCCGTGCCATGCACGGGGTTGAACGAAATTTGTGTCGATTCTGAATTATTTCAATTAAATTTATTTTTTCAGTATAAAGAAAATTTATTGTGCAAATAATTTTTAATACTACAGATGAAAAAAGCCAAAGTAAAATAAATAATATTTTAGGAAATGAATGTGGAGATAAAACTTTTTATTTTAATACCAAATTTTCTGAAAGACTTCAGAGTATACAACATTTTTGCTATGGTTGCAAGGATTTCCATTGTCATCTAGAACCAATATCTTTAATCATGTCTTTGTCTTCACTCGTGAAACAACAACATATAGCTGACCATGTGTGAACACCGACTTGGTTAAAAATAATCCCACAAATGACAATGTTTGACCTTGACTTTTGTTGATAGTCATAGCAAAACATAAGGCGATGGGGAATTGTCTTCTTTGGAACTTCAAGGGTAGGCATGGATCAGATGGTACCAAATTCATTCTAGGGATGTAAACTTTTTCCCCAACTTGATTTCCCGAAACCACAATTGCACCGATTACATTATTTTGCAGCTCTTGAACGATTAATCTTGTCCCATTACACAATCCAGATGTTTGGTCAATGTTTCTCAATAGCATAATCGGTACCCCTTTATTCAAGACTATTCTGTGGTTTGGGATTCCCGAACATTTGATTTCGTTCAAGAACTCAACTGTTATCCAATCGCCATCAACACCTACATCTACATCTGCTTGGCACGAAGAATCAGAACTCAAGTACTCCTTTTCATCACCAGGAATGAGAGACAAGACAAATTCATTTATCATTTCAACAACTTCGAGAGTTAGTGCCAATAGTGCTCTATCCTCAAAAAAGAATAATTTTTCATATTCTCTAACATATTCGGATAAGTGAAGCCCAGTATATACTCTTCATAGGAGAACTTATATAAAAAATTAAGAATTCAGGCAGAATCTCAACATCACCAACTTCGTCCATCACCTGACCTAGCTTTCCATCACCGATTTTGATTATCCAATCAGAAAAAGCTCGTGTCTCCCTATTTGAGCAAGAAGACATGGACGAATGCAGTCTCATATTCCTGATCAACGTATAAACTTTACAGTACGACCACAAATGTGAGGAATTGACCGTAGCACCTACGATTTGCTCTCTCGAAGCTCTAGGTAAAACTGGAAGGATCTGTCGAAAGTCAGCTCCGAGTATAACTGTTTTCCCTCCAAATGGTTCATTTCTGTACTTAACATTAGAGAACCCCATGATATCTTTCATTGTTCGATCCAAAGCCTCAAAATCAAATCTACTCATTATGCATGCTTCATCCCATATGATCAAACTTCCTTGTTGGATCAATTCAGCTTTGTGGCTCCCTTGTTTGATGGCACACGTTGAGCACTCAGTTAGGGCCAATGGGATTGAAAATCTAGAGTGTGTAGTCCTTCCACCAGGCAATAACAATGCTGCAATCCCACTGGATGCAACATTCAGAACAATCTTTCCTTTTGATCTAAGAGAAGCGGATACTCATTTCCAGTGGAAGGTCTTTCCGGTTCCCCCGTAACCATACACAAAAAATAAACCTCCCTTTTCAGCTGTCACAACTTCCATTATATCGTCGTATATCTTCCTCTGGTCTTTGTTCATGGTAGATAAGTATTGTCCAATATCAGATGACAATTGTTCTCTATCATAGTTCAACTCCTCGACCAATAAGTTATTTTGAAATCTATTGAGTGGGTTGTCATCTGGAAATGGCATACCACCAAACTCTTTTAAGGATCGCCCGTTTATATAAAGTAACTTCTCAATCTCAATCAAACACAAATTCTTTAAATCTTCTTGGGAGATAAGAAGTTCTGAAAAAAAGAAGTTAATATTAGACTAAATTATTTCGACAAAGATGTCAGTTATAGAGTTTTGTATAAATACCATTAATTTCATATTAATGTTTATACAAAAAATAAAACAAATAAGTTTTCATAAAAATACCTTGATATCTTGGTCAAAGTTTGTAAACTTTGACTATGATATGTGGAAAAAATACATTGTATTAGGATATAACTCTAATATAAATATATTCATTTTGAAATATAGTTTTCAAATATCAAATTTTTATAAAATGTATCCATGTATAAATAAAGATATTAGCGGTCAAAGTGTAATCTTGGAGAACATAAAAAGTCAAATGAGAAAAATATTTTCAGACTAATAAGGGAGTATACAATAAATAGTCAGTACTTACCATTCAAAGAGCACCGTTGGAGATAGTGTATTAGTAAATATTATTTAAGGCACGTAAGAAATGGTGTGTTTTTAATACTTACCAATTAATATTTTATGGGGAGGATGGAGAAGTAAGTGTTACTTACCATTTAAAAATGGAAAATAATAAAATAATATTTACATTACAGCTTAATCTTTCCAATAAAATGATATACGAAATCTTTTAAAATTGGCAAGTAACACTACACTTTAAATTGGTAAATAAAATTGGTAAGAAACACTGCACACTTTAAATTGGCAATAATACAAAGTCTATTATACAATTTAATATGCATATTACGGTGTCATTTTTAATTGGTAATAATACAAAGTCTATATTATACACTTTAAATTGGCAATAATACAAAGTCTATTATACAATTTAATATGCATATTACCGTGACACATGGGGCATTGCATATTCGTGGAATGTTACTAATTTATTATAGTATTGACAATTTACTTTATACAACAATTAAACACAGACATGGTAGATTTTTATTTTGTTACAAAAGTTGTCTTGGTCAACAAAATCACTAATATTGATCACCTATATAAGTAACGTGATCAATAATTTACTCATGACAGTAAGCAACATAAGTGAGAAATCTAAAATATCATTGAAATTTATTTTAATTAATATAGGTAGTCTATTCATTTCGACCACATGTACATGAATTTTTATAAATAAAACTTTGTAACTTATTAATTGTAGCTATTTTGACCATACATGATTGTATCTAAAATTATTTTTATATACATTTGATGAGGATCCCATTAATTTTCACTCACAGTACAAATTAAAACCCCATATAAAAATCCCGAATCAATTGAAATACGACGGATTAAATGTGTAAAAATATGAAAGTAGGATAAAGGATTAATACATGTAGCATGGTCCTAAATTTAAATGAAATGAAAAATGTTACATTTGTATTTATTTTTATTTTTAATTATCTTATGTTATCATCGTAATAGAAGTTCGTATTGTTGTAATGTGAAAACATATATTTACATATATCTCTTTTTTTGGGTTTTATGTATACTTGGTCTTGAAAAGTAGTTGATAAATTGAAATTTTGATTTATCACTAAACAAAGAATCGAAACACAATATTTTATTAAAACTTGTGAATAAGCTCAACATATAATCGGAATAATGGAGAAATCTATAAACCATCCCATACTAAAAAACAAAGCTATATTATTATTTAAATTAAACCATAATATATCATTTATTATAAAGCATTAATTTCTAACATAGGAATTATAAACCTAAAATGTCTAATTATTAAATCCAAGCATAAAATAATAATAATACTAAAACATGGCAAACATCATTATGATTTTTCAAGTGAGTAGTACCAGCCTTACTTGATCCATCGAATTTTCGTTTACATCCCAAGCAAGTTGCAATAACTTTACCGGCTCCAAGACACTCCCTGTCATAATAATCCCAAACCCGAGAAGTCAACTTTCTTTTTTTAGCATTGAGTTCTGCACCTTGGTCTGGAACAACTGCTTCGGAGGTAATAACATTAGTGTTTGCAGTTGATTGTGAAGAAGCACCGATGCTTTGTTGAGTTTGGTCTGCCATCTGTCTACAAAAAAAATCAAACATATAAAAATGACAGAAAAGGATGATTAGACAACATAAGAGTGGCATACATTTTTTAATGGGATATTAAAATGCTATGTTGTACCATTAAAGGGTGTTCTAGGCTATCATTTAGGTGTATTACCAATTATGAAGAAAAAACACCTACGGGTACAATAGGCAAAGAATAAACCATGTCCAAAATGAAACTAATGAACTTAATCCAAAAATGAAAAAACACCTACTGGCTACTGATACAAACGAGGCTATCACTAGAATGGAGGCAATATCAATACAAACGACGTTGTATATCAATAAATGTATATGTAAATTAAATATAAATATATAATTAAATGCTAGAATGGAGGCATACCTGAGACAAAACGAGGCTGTCGCTCGTCGGAGGAAACACTGAGGAGACGGCCGAGCAGCGATTCAACGATTCCTTGGAACAGCGATTAGATGATGATGCTTTGAGATTCGCCGATTCAATTCGTGGGGGACGGGCTGCGGCTGCGGGACTGCGGGACTGCGGGAGTAACTTTTTCTTGCCTACGGGTTTGTTGAATTGTTGGGGTAGGGTTAGATTTGTGAATTGTGAATTTGTTATTTACTCACATTGGGTCAATAGCCCAACTTTATTGGTAGCCCAACTTTATTGGATTGGTAATTGGAGCAAATATTAAATACATAACAAGATTATATTTATTATACTTATTTTTATTTGGGATTCGGATAAACGGTTATTCGGATAAACGGTAACGGTTGTTGAAACGGATGTTTATGCAGATCGGATTTTAAACGGATCGGATTCATAAATACCAAATCCGCATCCGTTTAGTAATCGGTTATCCCGAATCGGATGCGGATAATATCCGTTTAAAACGGATACGGATTTTTTCTTTTTAAACGAATACGGATGCGGACGGTAATCGGATTTTCGACTATCCATTTACAGGCTTAACTGGTCTTCCCCAAGATTGACAATTGTCTCCTCGAGCATTTGAAGGAAGGTGTTCAGATTCTTGAGCCTAAGTGGTATGATCATTGTTTTATAATATTGGTTTATGTTTGCAAGTGTATTGAAACAAAAGCATTGTTATAAATCATCCTTTCTTGTGCTCCTTCCTGGAGAAATATGCCATTTATTGTCTCTAATAATACTCTCTTTGATGTTGTGTTTTTGTCCTACAGGTATCTTCCGGTTATCCCCTTAGTTCTCGTAAATGGGTGTACTGGACTCGGAACCGGTTGGCGATCAAACACTCCGTGCTTTAATCCACGAGACATAATTGACCGCCTCCGGTGTCTCCTCACTTTTGAAAAGGAGAAAAAGGCCAAAGGAGTAAAGGAGGAAATAATGGAAGTAGAACTTTTATGTCCATGGTACAGAGGTTTCAAGGAGAGCATATTGCATTCTGGCAATGATGTAAGGTGTCATAGAATTTATACTAGCTCAGGCGTGGTGAAGGTAGTTAAGCCAACTACTTTGGTGATAACAGAGCTCCCAATTGGGTTATGGACTTTGGTTTACAAAGAAGATACTCTGGAGCAGATGTTGGCTAAAGGTCTCATCAAGGTGGGATTTTTGTTTGTTTGCTTTTATGTGTTCAATTGTTGTGTTGTATAAAAACTGTGTTTGTCTCAGATGAATTATGTATGGTATGTTGCAGGGCTATTCAGACCGGAGTTGCCTTGACAATGTGAAGTTGAGAATTTACTTGAACGAAGAAAACAGAAAGTCGGATGATCAACTCATTAAGGACTTCAAGCTCACTTCAAAACTTTATATTGACGAAATGGTCTTGTTTGATGAGAAAGGCAGGATCATTGAATTTCACACTCCTGAAGAAAGTAAGATTCATTCCACATTTCTATTTGACAAACATGGATGGAACAAGACTCTAGGGTGTGTGTGTGTGTGTAGTGCTCACGTGTGAGAATGAGAATGACAACACGGGTTGGAAGAGAAAAAAAGGCCAAAAACTAGGAAAAGGAAAACATAAAATGCATTGAATTGCCCCTCGTGTGAAAGACTTCGTTGCTTTTTCCCTCGATCTTCCTCTACCCCTCATTTTAGGGATTGACACTTAACTGGTTCAAGTGAATTATTGATCGGTTTGTTTGTTTGTTTGTTTTTCTCAGTTCTAGTGCAATCACTACAAAAAACTTGACATTTTGTGGCACCAAACTTTGCCACAAAACATAAAAAATTAGCCACTAACTTTTTGTAGCAATTCTTGAATTTGCCACAAGGTTGCCACAGATACCCCGTTACAAAAGGTATTTGTGGCAAATTTAAATTTGCCACAAAAGTCATAGTTTTTGTGGCAAATTATGGTTTGCCACTAATAATACTTTGCCACAAAAACTCATGTATAGTGGCAACTTTTAGTTGCCACAAATTTTTATTTGCCACAAGAATCATATTTAGTAGCGAATTTATAATGCCACAAATTATACTTTCTAGAAATCATTTTTATTTATAAGATACCAAAATACGAAAGTATGCAAAAGTTATGTATAAAGATTTAAAACAAAATACATGGTATATATAACTCTAATCAATCAAATATTCATAATATAATATAGTACAATTTCAAAATGATGATATAAAATCTTAACATATTTTAAGAACAAAAAAGTCAAATCTTGATCTAAAATTCATCTCAACTCTAGCTCCTCAGCTCCAGCTCCAGCTCCTCCATCATTTTGTCACTTCAATCTTGACTTCAAATTCTCAAAGAGGTTGAAAATCAACCTTATTCTGAAAAAATTCATTGTAGTAAAACAAATCAAACACTAATAGACTAGATTAGCGGGTGATAAAAAGAACTTGTATGGTTTCTTTTGTCAAACTTAAAGACTAGCCCGAGATATAATGTGTCTTTTTATGACCATTTAAAAGCCCCTAATCTGTATAAAAAAAGCCCCAAATTGAATTCTCATTTGGGGTCTTTGGGTCATTTACTCCTTTCATTAAGTTCAACCCATAGTTGCTTTCATAGAAATACACCTTTTTTTTGCTTTTCTGATAATTTGCCTAATTAACAATATAAGTGGCACAAAAGTGACAGAACAAAGACCAAACCTGATAAGGCAATAAAGGCATCTGAATGTCTAGCCATCTCTGCCTTTCTTTGATGCATATCTCCAAGTCTTCACTTCCCCAACTGTTTCACCAATCAACTGTGAAAGCAACCAGCCCAAAACCGCTTGATCTTGTGAGCAGGAAATGGAGCAAACCGCTGGTTAGGTATGCTAGCATTGCATTTTTGTGCCATTCAAACTGGTCCTTTAGTCGGTTGTTTACTGCTTAACTTCTTCCAGGGTTAAAGGGATGGGTTGCACAACTCTTGCTTAATGCTGACAACTTGGGTTTGTTTAAAAAACATGTTGATTACAGCACCTCTTATCTTTAGTCAGTATATAAATTGTACTCCTGACCCAAAAGTTATACTCGGCGCAAAGATTAAGAAAAGTGAAATTGTGTGGTTAAAAGTGAGGCGAAGGCAAAAGAATATGAACCACAAAAACATTTTCAAATGCGGAAAGTGGACTCTTATTTGGGACGTCCCACAAAGGGAATAGGGACTTATTTCGGGATAGAGTGAGTACAGTCTTGAAATTTAAGTGCATTACTAAAGATAGTTTTGAAATTTTTTCCATCTTTTCTTAGAATGAAGGGGGCTGAGGGGAGCAATGCTTATGATCATCTATTTTTTTATCATAACATAGTTGTAATGTCTTCCTTGAACAGAGGAGTTCCTCCAGCAGCCAGGTTTGATCATGCTGCTACTGTTCATACGGCTCGTCGCGAGCTTCTGATATTTGGTGGTATTAAATATCTAGAGTTTGTTAATGATCTCCATGTTTTAAATATTGACACAGTAAGGCACGTCTTAGCTTTTTCTTCTTCTTCCAATTAGACGTGTTCACAGTTTTATCCTTCTCTCTTGCTCCCATGTAGTGGGAATGGTTGAGACCCAAGCAGCATGGGGATATACCAGGACCACGCCGTGGTCATGCAGGTGCAACAATTGGAGATAGCTGGTTTATTTTCGGTGGTTACAATGGAACCACTGGTAGAAAGATTTCAATATTTTTATCTTCCTGCAACTATTTCTGTTTATTTAATGAATTACGGCTTATATTCAATTTCCGCTTATGTAAAGATGACATTTTCTGAAGATAATATTTTGCAGCCGATGATCTTATCGTCCTCATCATGTCAAATTATGTATGGTCAGTGTTACCGACTACAGGGGAATGCATGTCTGCTACCACGATGGTAACTTATTGATGATATAATTGTTGCCTGCCATAGTTTTTCCATTCATCTATTGGATCAAGAGTAATGTATCACTCTATGGTACTCTTGCCGCAGGGATCGAGTTTGGTAGCGAGCAACTATGAAGGTCAGACAGTGCTGATATCTTTTGGTGGATTTAGTAATTGCCTTGCGAATAAGGTACGGTAACTCGCACGCGTGGGCGCGCACATACATGTGTGAGTATGTGCACATGCGTCTCCTGAACAACGTTTGAACAACTAATTGGTTGTGTATGTTTGAGAGTGGTATTGGAGTGCTGTTTGGCCTTGAATAGCTCTTCCTTAGAAGGCTCATTTGTCAAGTATACCAACATTTTCAAAAAGCTGTTTGCCAAACACAACCATCACTATGTTGCCTCTGTTGCATTTGCCCTTTAGAAAGGTAGAGTGTAATAAGTTGTTGATATTGGCAGGTGCATATCCTTAAACCAAGCCATAAGTCACCCTTGATGACACCGATTCCCAACCGTACGTATGGTGTGCATAGTGCTCCCAATGATACATTTGATCCCAGGGTAAGAAATTACTTGAGACTTGCTCGGTAGAAATGAGTACTTGTTTTCATGCTGTTGATTGATTGCTTAGACTGGCATTCCTCTGATCAGGGAACTGGGAAAACCGAATCAACCGATGCTTCTGCTGCCGAAGATCACCTCTATGTAGGGCACTTTCACGCTTACTAATTGCACAAATTAAATCATTAATATCTTGAATTGCACTTTATTAAAAGTTATAAAAATTTGAAACCCCACATGGCTTTATTGTTACGCAGGAGCTTCAATATTTACGTGATCAGCTGAGAGTTGAGGAGTTGAAATATCAAAAACTTAAGGTGCTTGGCTATTTCTACTACAATGGCATATTAGCCTAATTTGCTACACTCGTAGCAGCGTAGAACATCTTTGAGAAATTCATTTGGTATTCGTATGCGCAGGAATGTATAGGACATCTGAATCTGAAGCTCTTTGCATGTGGACATGGAGATAAAATAAATCTTTCAAGTGGAAGCTAACATTTCAATATGATAAGACTTTTTGCACAATAGCACATCTTTTATTTGATATATTGAAATACTTAATATACTAAATATCCATTTCTTTCTCTCCCAACACCACATATAAGTCCCAATTGCTTTGTAGAGCTTTTGTGCACAATCACAGTGTTTGAAATGATGAGTGGTTGTTTCATCTTCTCTGTTACATAAATTACAAGAAAAATGCTAGGGGTACACCAAATGTGTACCCCATTTAATTATAGAAATTGAATAAAGAATCATTTAGAGCAGCGAACATACCAAGTCTGTTTTCATCCTATTCAAAATTTGAAATTCAGATGTGGTCCCAAAGCGATGTAGAACTTTTTTGTTGAAAGATGTCCTTTATTAGTGCACACACACACACACACATATATATATATTTGTATATTAAAAAATTATAAAAATTACATCTTAATAATCTATATGTTAAGACGAATCAAACAAAATCACACATGACTATTTTTAGGCTTATACATTAAGAGAATTTGATGAGTCAAAGTGCTTAGATGAACATTTCCAAAAGTCAAATGTGGACAAAGACAATGGGACGGAGGTAATATATATATATATATATATATATATATATATATATATATATATATATATATATATATATATATATATATATATATATATATATATAAAGTTTGTGTGAACAAGCAATTGACAAATAAAAACACCAAATTGCTGGGTGTGAGAATTGAATCCATGAAAAAGGACAGCCTTGACAAAGATGTAAAGGGTAATGGGAGCCGTCCAGGTTTTGCCCAGACTACCACGACTCCTCAACTCACCAGATGCCCCTTCCTTCAAAGCAACCCATAAATTGACAAAGCAGAAAAGATTCAAAGGATCTTTTCACGACCCCATATGTTGACCACAAAACAACATTGTAACCTACAATTATTAAACCCACCACCTTTGTTTTCCATGTGTGTGTGATGAATGTAACCACAAAACATGTTTTGTAGTATGGGATCAAAAAGGGGCCATACATATCCAGTCCATGTGAGTATGTGACATACCCATCCATTATAATATATAGCTGATGCTATCTTTCCATTTTCTCTTTGTCACTTGTATATGTAACCAACCTGCCCTCAATGAATGAGTAAATAAATCCCCCCCCCCCACCCCCCATCTTCAATGGTTACCTCCCCCATAGACTCACGAGGAAGAGGGACCGGACTGAGCCATAGTCCGACACCACCGGGGGAGTTGGCATAACTCCCTCTCTTGTATTTCGAAGGGTAAAAATGTCAATTCGTCATAAATGGGGGGGAGTGAATTCAGCCAAAACAAGAGTGGACAGTT